AACGATCACTCCAGGCAATTTCGAGAGGAATACAACGATACTAGCTACCATATCCGTGGCCCGTGCGAACTCCGGAACTTCATATTGTGAATGTTTGGTCTTATCAGAACTGGTGTCCTAGTATTTTAGACTTTTTGCATCGTGGTAGATGTCATGGTATTGCATGAGCATACCCGTATTTCTCAAAATTCAGCGAGTCCGAATCTCATTACTTAAAAATATATGACATCCGTCTATCCTTTTAACATCTAATACATGCCAAAATAAAAAAACAAAAATCAGAGCATAGAAACACTCGCGCAATGAACGTTGCTGTGGAGCATAGAGCGCTCAATCCAGCGAGCACTTCGTGAACTCACTCCGACACTCCAGTGTTTCGAAGTGAATAAGACAACTTTCGCTACACTACTATGAGTACGTTCAGCATATCTGAAACGCAGCGCCAACAAGCTAACCGAAATGCCGCCAGTATTTCGCTTGACTCATATACCTCTCCATACTGCAATTCAAAGTCCACCTTAAAAGAGCGAGTAGAATCGTACTGCACGGGTCTGTGTCATCGCTTTTGCGTTGGTAGTGTAAGATGAGATCTGTTCTTCCGCCTATCGGTCTTTAGAAAACCACAGATCATTCGCACGCGAGAACGTTCAGCCAGCCGCTGGTCAGTTTTGGTGCAGACTACATTTGTTACGGTGCGTCAAGACGGCCTTGTCGACGTTACCGACTTGACTCTCAACGCGTTCGCCACGGAGATGTGATCCAGCACAGCTTGATACCTACGCAACCTTTTGCCGACAACATTGCTCGACTTGTCGCTTTCGTTCCAGTTTCGAAGATCGACAGCCTTCGTGTCTGCCTTCAAACTGTCTCGCCTTTTTGTGGTATCCTGGGGCCAGCCTTCGGACGGGCCAGCACTCGCTCACTTGCAAAAAGGTCTACTGCCCCCGCGTAGAAATCAAGACGTGCACAAAAGCGCGATTTCTAGTCAACAGGACAAACGTCGGGCCTCATTATCGAGCCCAGAGACTCACGGATCAAAATTACGAGTACGGAAAAGATGCCTCTCGCCAAGAATGGCATCGAGATGCCGGCGTTGGAGATTGAGCGCGGTGACGAGAAAATAATGCAGGAACTCGCGGCTACGCTTCTCCGGACAAACCTGGACCTATACAGCGAGCTGGCTGTCACTCCCGATGGTCACCCGGATTCTCGACAATGGGCGTCAATCCAAAAACGAGAAGGAGTTCGAGTCTACAAGGAAAGCACCCGCCAACAGCAGCAGCAGATCAATGCTCAAGCAGCCACTGGGAATAGTGCCGCGAAGACAGCCAAGGTACCACCGTCGCTGCTGCTCATGGGTACGATCAAAGGTAACCTGGACGACGTGCTATACGCCTCGGCAGCGGCTTCAACCGAGGCCATACTGACCAAAGCCAAGTACACGGACGACGGTATCGTCGACGCCAAGGTTCTAGCTCGCATCATTGAGCCGACGATGGCGGACCCCATGCACTTCCTCAACGTAACCTGGCGTCATTATGCTCTCTCCGAGCCTCGAGACTACGTGTGTCTAGACGTCGCTGGTTATAGCAACACAACGCGCGGTGAACAGGTTGCGTACCACCTCGTCCATTCCGTAGGCTTCGACGCACTCCCAAGCCACGAGCACAAAGGTATTGCTCGTGCCAATATGTCGGTGTGCTGGATCTTCCGACAAAGAACAGCTACTCATGTTGAGTGCTATGCGAGAGGGTATTACGACTTTGATACCAACGTTGCTATGCTGAATTCCATCTCCATGCACGCGATTGCGTCGCAGTGGCTTTCCTGTGTTAAACTCGTCTCATACGCTCAAAGTATGAAGCTGACTCGGCTTCTCAACTGCGGCAAAGGGGCCATCAGCTCCGACGGCAGCGAGAGTGACAGCGGTGACGGTGGATTCGGAAGTTATGGCAGCATCTCCAATCCTGGGCACGCTCGCACGATGTCGAGTTCTACATCGAGTTCGAGCAGCTCCGTCGTGCTGCTACCTGCACCTGAGCTGGCGAGGATACCGGCGTCGAGGTGTAAGCTATGCTGTAAGAGCTTCCACTTCCTGGGAGCCTCTCGACGCGTCTGTCAAGCCTGTGATGAAGACGTGTGCTCGCGTTGCACAGTTAACCAGACTTTGTGTCTGTTTTCCCGCACTCGGCGATGTGTTCAAGAACGCAAGAAGAAGTTCTGCAAGCAATGCGTAGCCGACGCCATGCGCAGTGAAGCTAGTGCTGTGGCGCGAGACGATTTCATCACAGCTACCCATCGTCAGTCAATCTTGTAGTGTTTTTGAAACTGTGCCAATATTGGAGCTGCCTCCGTTCGGATTATATTGTGCCGTCGCTCGGAAGCAAGAGCTATGCAGACAAAGAAGAAATTTGCGCGGTATCAATTGCTACAGTATCGCGCAGCAGACTGCAAGTAGTGTCTAGTCATCAATTAGGCGTAGAGGTGGATAGCACCAGAAGCTTGTTTCTTTTTGCATTGGTGACCAAGTGACCAAAAGGCAGTCGCTCACATTAATATTGGAGTTTCGTATCAACATGCCGGTGCTCAGTACTATCGTGAATTGTGACTGACATTCGCCAAAATTCCGTTTGCACGAGAAGATAGAGAAGGCGAGTCGACTGTCGACAGGCAACGAAATCATAATCCTCTTCATCGCGACAGTCCTCCTCTTTCCAATTTTACGTGTGAGGAGTACCGCGCTATGTGGATCCCGCCTAAGCGTGTTACATGCACTAGCGGAGACTGAAAGCTGAGCTGATCAGGCCAAGTCAGTCGTTAACATCCCAGTTGTAACTACTGCTGTTGGAAAAGAAAAATCATCCATACACAATAGCTCCGAGTCGATATGTAACCGAGCCAAGAGTGAGACTTTTAGGAATTGGTGCATGCAAGAGCCTTTGACCCCCTATACATTGATATGGCACTTCAACTATCATAAATAGAGAAGTTACTTGTGGTCCATTCTGAACTGATAACTTCAAAACGGGATACCTTCCGACTCGATTGAAGTCAGAATACAGGAAACTCTGCTTTTGCAGATGGATCCTACGCACATTTAATGGGGGCACACATGCTGGCGCTACCATTGTAACACAGTGTGGCGCTGGGCACAGACCCTGATGCGCCTTGCCGCTTGTGGCCAGAGTTCCATCACGCAAGACCATAGTGAATAAGACTAACGAGCCACTGTGGGGAGTGTTGCAAAAGTAGCTGTGAGTCGCCTCGCTGCACTTACACAAGCTACACGATATAGAATGAGTCGCCTTCGTTGCACTTCGTTCGCGTCCCTGTGTCGACGTCGACTGCATTCTCTGACTTGCCTTCACTTGCAACGAGACTTCTTCGATATCAGCGTTGGTTTTTTCGAGATTGCTACTCGAGAGAGGTAAGTGATACATGCAAAATAGGGTGGGCGGGTGTTCTTCTCGCTACTTGACAACCCGTCTTCTCAGAATCTGTCTGTTGTCGCCGGTCGTGGGTATCATCTCTCATGTCTTGAATCAGTCGCTAACATGACGTGAATCATTACGCTTTTCTCCGCGTGTAGACTCCACAGCAGACAACCATTCCGGATCCAGCTGAGCTCGTCATGTCCAAGGACGACCTGATGGTGCAAGCGTTGCCGCGACTTCAGTTGTCGAGCCTGGATATGAAGGCGATCTTAGAGCTATCCGTAAGTATGCTGGAGACGAACCTGACGCAGCAGAAGGAGCTGCGGTTGACAAAGGATGGCTTTCCGGACTCGCGTACCTGGCGAGAAGTGCAGCGTAAGGAAGGAATACGAGTGTTCAAGGAGTTCCAGTCGCAGAATTCATTGCCGAGCGGGGACAGTGCGACGTGTATGCGAGCTGGATTTGCTCACCCGGAAGAGTCCGGGATGCCATCACTACTGATGCTAGGAACGATAGCTGGTAATCTCAACGACGTCATGTACGCGTCCATTGCAACAAGCACCGACTCCATGCGAGCTCGCTCTAAGTTTATACAAGACGGAGTCGTGAACAGCAAGGTGCTCTGTTGCGTGGAGAGTCCGTCGTCGGACGATCCGTTCCACACGCTCAACGTGACTTGGCGCTACTACTCGCTTTCGGAGCCACGAGACTACACGTGTATCGAAGCAACGGGGCTGGTGCCCAACGATTACGGCGAGCTGGTGGGCTTCCACCTCGTCCACTCGCTCGGATTCGCTCAACTTCCAGTCTTCAAGAGCCACGGCGTGGAAAGAGCCAACATGTCGGTGTGTTCGTTCTTCCGTCAGAAAACTCCAACTCTCGTCGAGTGCTATACACGCGGCTACTTTGACTTCCACTCGACCAATGAGATGCTGAACAACATCTCGCTGCACACTATTTCGACCCAGTGGCTCTCGATGGCTCGCTACGTCGAGTGCGCGCAGATGAAGAAGCTCGTGTGGTGGATGCGGATGCGGACAGGTCGCGATTCCTTTGCCAGCAGCAGCCAAAGCTCCAGCTCCACTTCATCTGGTGGCATCGCTATGATTGGACAAAATTCGCGTCCCCGTATCCAATCAGGATCTCGCTGTCGAGTCTGCTCACGCAGCTTCGGCGGCTTCCTGCGGACGTCTCCCAGAGCGTGTGCGTGCTGCGCCGAGTGGGTCTGTAAGCGCTGCTGTGTGAAGAAGCAGGTGTGTGTTATGTCGTCCCACAACCGGAGCAAGGTGAACGATAAGAAGCTCATCTTCTGTGCGCAATGTATCGCTGAGGGATCCAAGAGCGACGCCGCGCTTATTCTGCGTGAAGAGCTCATGGGGACACGTACGTCGTACTCGTCGACCCGCAGAACTACTAGTACAATGGAGACCTTGGAGACAGAGTAAGAGTGAATGAGGCCATCGACTGTGGGCTGAATATATTGAGTGGGGTTTGTGTGTGTTGTTTAGATTGGATCACATGACATGCATTTACTATGTCAGAGGTGGAAGGTGCTTGTCAACAAGCAGCTCCCAATTTGCACCGCACACAATCTATAGGAAGCCTTCAGTGGAAAGACAAACTAACTCTCATGCGGCAAGGCAGAGAAGCGCTTATTCCTCAATGGTCTTGTTGCGCATCTCCGAGATCTTGAAGCCGGGCATCTCGAAGGACGTGGCAAGAGCGTTGACGTCGCGACGCAGCTGCTTAACGCCCTCGTGGGCCTCAGCGCCCTTGATGAAGTCAACCAGCTTCTTGCCGCTCGTGTTCTGGATCTCCACGCACAGCTTGACAGCACGGTCGAGGAACTCGGCGACCTTAACGAACTCGGCCTCCTTGAAGCCACGGCTCGTCAGAGCAGGCGTACCGACACGCACACCACCCGGGGTCAGAGCACTGCGGTCGCCCAGCACGGCGTTCTTGTTCAGCGTGATGCAGACCATGTCGCACAGCTTCTCGAGCTTGGAGCCCGTGACGCCCTGAGGACGCAGGTCCCACAGGATCAGGTGGTTGTCAGTGCCGCCCGTGCACATCGAGTAACCCAGGTCGGTCAGGGTCTTGGCCAGGACCTTAGCGTTGGCCTTGAGCTGCTGCACGTAGGCCTTGAACTCGGGCGTCTGCACCTCCTTGAGCTGAGCGGCAATGCCGGCAATCTGGTGCTCGTGCGGGCCACCCTGGAGGGCGGGGAACACGGCGTTGTTGATACGGGGCTCGAAGCCACGCTCGTCACGGCGGAAGAAGATCATACCAGCACGGGGGCCACGCAGCGACTTGTGCGTCGTCGTGGTCACGATGTCGCAGTAGTCGAAGGGGCTGGCGTGCTCCTTAGTGGCGACCAGGCCGCTGTAGTGGGCCATGTCGCACATGAGCAGAGCGCCGTTGTCGTCAGCGATCTTGCGGAAGGCGGCGTAGTCCCAGTCACGCGGGTAAGCGCTGCCACCGCACACAATCATAGCGGGCTTGAAGAGAGCAGCCTGCTCAGCGAGCTTCTCGAAGTCGATCAGGCCGGTGTCGGCGTTCACGCGGTAGGGCAGCGACTCGAAGTACACGGACGTAGCGGACACGGCCTTGCGCGTCTTCTCAGCCTTAGAGTACGTGTAGAAACCGTGGGTCAAGTGGCCTCCACTGGGCAGGTCCAGGCCCATGATGCGGTCGTGCGGGCGCAGCAGAGCCGTGTACACGGCGAAGTTGGCGGGCGAGCCAGAGTAGGGCTGCACGTTGACGCCCCACTTCTCGGCGTCCAGACCGTAGGCCGTCAGGGCGCGCTGCTGGCACAGGATCTCGATCTTGTCGATGACCTCGTTACCGCCGTAGTAACGCGCGTTCGGCAGACCCTCGGCATACTTGTTGGTGAGGCACGAGCCCAGGCAGTCCATGACGGCACGCGAGGTGAAGTTCTCCGAAGCGATGAGCTCCAGGCACTTCCACTGACGGTTCTTCTCAGCCTCAATGAGGTTGAAGATCTCCGGGTCCTGCTCCTCGAGGGTGGCGTTGTTGGCCTGCATAGAGAAAAATCACAGCGTTAATAACTGTGGAGACAGCGTCACGTCAGGAACACAGCGCGTAGACGTACGATGACCATGGTGGACGAGTGTGGGGGTGAAGCTGCTTGGTCGGGTGGGAGCCAAATGCGGAATGCGGCGGACGTAAGGTGTCCAGACGCCGTCGGAGGTTGCAGTGACCATCACTCTGCCACATCGCACCGGATTGCGATCGAACTGCACGATATATGTGATCTTGAAGGTGCAGTAGATGCTGAAAGCCTCAGGAGTTTATATGGTGTGGCCGACACAATGGAATATAAGAGGCTTAACCGACTGCGCAAAGTGCTGGGCACCACGCACTTGTGCGTGTTTGACCTGTCAAATCGGATACCTACCCCTGGCACGTTCCTGGAGTGGCTCACACTGCCACAAGAAACTGATGTAGCCACATCATTGCCTCCTATTTTGCAGTCTTATAATGGAGGGTGCCGCCAAATTAGTTGACGATGTTTCATGGTCTTCATTTTTACAGTTTTGTGGCGCATTTATGGTGGCGAAGGCTATCTACGCGTCAATCCTTGACACAGGCAGTTGATATGAACTGCAGTATGATACTGGTAGATGTATTCTAGCGAAGGTATCGGACTCTATTATTGCCTTGGTGATCGACAACATGTCGCACTTGTGTTACCGGGATGGCTCATTTTCAGGACATGTTTACAGACATCCACACGATTTTTCTACCCGGCATTACCAAACATACCATACGGGAAGAAATACTCGCTCGGATCTTCTTTTGTGTCAACGCTGGCTGTACGCAAAAAAACTATGAACGGTGCGGCAGCTTTGGAATTGAAGAGACGATGAAATAGCTGCACCGTAAGGTTGCATTACGGCTGCTACAGACGATGCTGTTGTCAACAACGGGTAATCTCAAAATGCGGCAAAGACATGACGAGTTTTACCAGCGTTGCTAGTGCTGGAAACGACGTCAGTGGGTTCACCGCGCTTAGCGACGCCAGTCGAATTAATGTCACGCTGGACTGAGGTATTTACCGGATACCAAAGGGGCCTCACTTTCGAGTGTGGCACGGGTACTACACCTCCGGCAGAAATACTTGCCCCCTACTTATTCTCTTGCAGTCTGGTTCGCTATTCGCTCGAAAGAACGCCACGAAAGCCTCGTCACCACAGCAGTAGCGGCATTGGGTACGATTATTTCCTGACGTGACGACAACTCGGCTGAACGATATTGTCGGCTTTCGCTTCAGCACCACGCGGTGGCAGGCTGCAAGTCTGGAGCAGCTAAGGCGGACGGCGACTGGGATTGAGCACAGCGTAAACGGAATCGCGGAAGACACGTCACACGAGACAACCAGCATGCCGACACAGCCGCACATATTCTCGCACTTGCTTAACCCACTGCAATGCACGGAGCAAGACAACGCAATACTAATCGAGTTAGCAGAGACCTTGGTGGTACACAACGTCCAGCAATTCAGCGCTCTCGAGCTTACGAAGAACGGAGCTCCGTCCAACAAGAATCGCTGGAAAGAGGTGCGAAAGAGAGAGGGCACTAAGGTTTTCAAGGAGAAGGCTACCAAAGGTGAACCACTTGAGATGCCATCGCTCATGCTGATGGGCACGGTGGTGGGCAAGCTAGAAGACTTCATGTACGCTGTGGTGGCCCCCTCCACCGAGGTGATGAGAATCAAGTCGTTCATCATCCAGGACGGCATTGTCGACTGTAAGGTGCTGCATGAGGTGGTGAGCCCTACCATAGACGACCCATTCCACCATATTAGCGTCAGGTGGCGCTTATTCACTGAACCAGATCTTCGAGATTATGTGTGTCTTGACTCAACTGGCATTGCTACGTCGGCTAACGGGGAGAGAATTGGTTACCATTTAACACATTCCGTCGGGTTTGAACAAATTCCCAGTTTCGCCAGCTACGATGTCACTCGCGGCAACATGTCGATTTGTTCGTTATACGTGCAGAATACTGCATCAACCGTTCAAATATATGTACGTGGCTTCTTCGACTCGAACGAGGGCAGGAACGAACTCGTCAACAATGCCACAATGAATGCCATCGCGTCGCACTGGATGTCCTATCCGCGTAAGGTCGAGTGTGCGCAAGTGAAGAAACTACTGTGGACCATGCACAAGAACAACAATCGCGATTCCATTATGTCATTGAAGAACGATGGCAAGCTGTCCATGTCTACTTCTACCCCAGGACTGTGCAAAATCTGCTCCAAGAGTTTTGGTTTCCTTGGCACAAGTCGGAAAATCTGCATTGTCTGCAATGAGCAGGTGTGTTCGCGATGCTCCGTGGCCAAGACACTGGCAATGCTCGCGTCAAATCGGGTCTCAGTGATGGAAAAGAAACGGGTATTCTGCGTACAGTGCATTAGCGATGTCACGAATACCGACGCCTTGCGGATCGCACGCGAGGAGATCCTTAATTGCGGTAAGCTCACAGCCACCTACTATTGAACCAGAGCAAGACCAAGCGATGAAAACGCGAACGGAAAGCGATCCCAAGTTGAAGTGGTGCATCCAAGATTTGTAAAAAAACTCGATTATTGTATTTCTCAAGTTGAAGTTGTTGGAATAAAAAAGTTGTAAATTTTAACGTTATTTACTAGCTTCAAATGAAAGAATAAAATGGCAGTGATGACGGCTTGAAGATATCAATCGGATGCACTTCATGACTTTCAGCAAAGTCTACAAAGTGTTCCATGTCGTACATGCTCTGCTGAAATTCTCGAATGGGTTCCACAAGTACAGCCTCGCTTGTGAAGGGATCTGTCTGGTAGAAATGCAGTGCCGAGGCGTTCACAGGCACTTCTCGTGTGAACCACGAGTACAAGTAGGCCATCTTGGGTACGGTCTCACTCGGAACTGCGTAGTCAAGTGGATTCACCTCCTCGCCTTTCTTAGTCGGTAACGGCTTGTTGTAGAGCGCCGGGGCGTGATACGGAGGCGCGATGCTGTGCCATGACGCATGCCCGTTCATGAAATGGTGTTTGATGGCGTTCTCGAAGATGAAATGCGTTAATACTCGCACAAGATTGTCGAAACCTGTAAACGATACAGGGAATCCGTGGATATGCTCGAGTTGGGAGCTCCGTTCAGCCCACGTCTGAAGCTCCGTGTCGTCTCGAATAGCCTTCTCGGTTGGGTAGTACGCCTTCACGTACTTCCATACAAACCTCTTGATGATGTTGTAGTACTTCATGCCATACCTATTCAGGCGATAATCGGTTAACGACTCCACCTCGCGAGCAGCCAAGTCCGTTGGAAGATCGAGTTCTACAGACGTTGTTTCGAACTCTCGCATCACTGCACGCACGGACCCTGTAGCGCCATAGCCTGTGACTTGGTCGTATGGTGTACCTGGACTCAACAGCTCTCGTCTAGCAAAATACTCCATCCCGAAATCTGCGAAGAAATGGTAGTCCAGCAAGGCGTATACGGGGTGTTCGGTTGATAGACTTCGCATCATTTCGACTTGAACTGGGACGGAGATCAAGTGGGTCTCGACAAAGTGCCGCATCTGCTGAAAGTTCACCTCCGTTGCATGCAGTGCCATCTTTGCCATTTGCCATTCACCTGGAGAGTCTGCTTTCGTGTAGGTCAGACAAGAGTCCACTAGTGTAATCGCCAGTGGGAGTAGCCGTTGTTTGTCCACGTTATTGCAGAAGAATCCGACGACGTTGGGGATGTACTTGAACTCTTTCGCAGCTTCGTCGGTGAGTTCGCCATAATCGGAGAAATCGGCGACAAACAACTTGCGGTGTTTTACCGTACTGGACAACGTCAATTCACCGCAGACGTCAATAAACAAACTTGGTGAGATCTCCCTCAAATTGTTCCCGTACTCTCCAGCATGTACCAGTCTTAAGTTGTTGCCGAGGATGCTGAGCCGCATAGCGCCGAAGTTCTCGTCACTAGAGTCCAGTGCCAAAGGCTCTTCGATCATTCCGGTGGACGCTAAATCTTCATACGCTTGCCGGAAATCGTTCTCGGAAATAAACGGAAGTCGCTCCTGCAGGAACGTTTCGATCTGGGACGCATTGAAATTGGTCGTCGCTGTGAGTGCAGTGGCCTGCATTACCAGATGCTCGAAGTACAGCATTGACGACGTAGACACCTCTGGGCCTGGGTTCAACTGGAACGTTTGGTCGCCGATAGAGTACGTTCGCTCGACGTTGTGGATCATTTTGGACTTGGCTTCAATGATAGAGGCGCGATGGCCATCAGTTGGGTCTGGAATACTCAGCTCGCTCGTGATGCTTTGCAGCGCGCTCAGAAAAACCGCGAGCTTCAGCAGAATAGCTTTCATTTCTTCTAGGTTCTGACAACCTTTCAAATAGCTTCTGGTTGGTTCACCGCAAAATGCAGAATGAGCTCTATCGGAACAGCGCCATGAGAGTCCAAAGGATTCGTAAAACCGTTCATGACGTGGTCTTCACACTGGTCCGCTCGGTTTATAGGTCCAAGTCTTCAGCTTGAGATACAAAATACCTTGCCGTGAAGGTCTCAAACGGCGTAGTTACAGCAGAAGAGCCCACCGCGACATTTGTATCGGCGTGGATGTTGGTCACGTGACCATAACTCCATGGTCCACCTATCAAAAAATCCAACACTCCAATCGTGGTACAACTCCGCTATAATACTCGGTATGATACTGAAGTACCTCATTACCTCCGTGAGACTAATATCCGTTGTTCAAAAACAGATTTTTGTGGCATGGAGTGTCGAGACCTCAGTGAGTAACAAGCGATAGATCACTTTCCCTCCAAAAGATTTTTTATTTCTTTTTTTTTCATACCGAAACGAAGTACCGGCATTATTCTAGCCAATCTAGTTTTTCGTTTCCTGCTTTCGCTTAGTCGCGGGTGCTGGTGATATAGTTGAGCAGGTCAATCCGGGTGGCAAGACCAGCGATCTTGCCGTCCGTAGACGTCACAACAGCGAAGTAATCTTTGTCGAAGATGGTGGCCAGCTCCGCCAACGAGCTCTCGTGGGTCACACGACTGAAGTTGCCGAATGTCACGGCAGCAACGGGGTCAGTGCGCATGACGCGACCAGAAGACAGTCTGGACAGCAGGTTGCCGATGGTCACGACGCCCTGCACCGTGCCGTCCTCCTTGACCACCGGTAGCTGATCATAGCCGTGACGTTCCATAGTCTCAATAGCGGCAGCGCACGAGAGATGAGGCGGTACCGTTGAAGGATGCGGTAGTTCCAGCACAGACACACGCTGTTCCGACCACCACGTGGCTGTTTCTTTGCGGTACTTGGAGTAGTTCTCGCGCGTGTGCACCGTGTTTTCCACGTATTTGTTCTCGAACATCCACGCGTCGTTCAAGAACTTAGACATGTAGTTACGTGTCGAGTCCGGCAGAATAACCACGCAACGTTGGCCAGGCTTGAGGATCGACGCCGCACGTACCGCAGCAGCCATGGCAGAGCCACTGGAGCCGCCACACAGCAGTCCTTCCTCGCGAATCAGACGACGGGACATGATGAACGATTCCTGGTCATTCGTCTTCTCCCACTTGTCCACCAGACTGCGGTCTAGCACGTCCGGGATGAAGTCGTAGCCGATACCTTCGACCTTGTACGGCTGCAGTCGGTTCTTGTCGTTCAACGAGTCTGGCAGTGCGAGGATCGAGCCTTCTGGGTCCACACCGACGACAATCACATTGGGGCATTTCTCCTTGAGTTTCTTAGCGATACCGGTAATGGTACCACCGGTACCGACGCCCATCACGACCATATCAACCTTCCCGTCACATTGATCCAAGATCTCCTCGGCTGTGCCGTCATAGTGAGCCAGCGGGTTGGACGGGTTGGCATACTGGTCCAAAATATGCGCATTCGGGAGCTCAGCCTGCAGACGCTTGGCGATGCCAATGTGGCTCTCGGGCGAGTCCCACGCAGCCTCCGTCGGCGTCCGAATGATCTCCGCGCCCAGTGCCTTGAGGACGTTCACCTTCTCCAGACTCATCTTCTCTGTATGGACACACACACACTTCAGTTAGTATACAGACATTGAGTAAGTATTCGGTGGCAGACCCACCCGGGAGCGTGATGATGCAGCGGTAGCCCTTGATGGCAGACGCGAGCGCCAAACCGATGCCTATAAAGCATAGGAGATTGAGTTAGTGTCTCTGTGTCTATCTGAATACCAGTTTGACGCGGTGCATACCGGTATTGCCCGACGTGGGCTCGATGAGCGTGTCTCCGGGCTTAATGCGGCCAGCTGCTTCGGCGTCCTCCACCATGCGCTTGCCGATACGGTCCTTGACGGAGCCACCAGCGTTGAAGAACTCGCACTTGGCCAGCAGCTCGCACTGCAAATGCGCCTTCTTGCCGATGTTATTGATGCGAACCATGGGCGTCTGGCCGATTGCCGCCTAGAGAATGAGGAGATTGGTGGTCAGCGGGTAGTGGTGGGAGGGAGGGCATTTAGCCACTGGGTTTGCATATACACAAAGGCGAGAGATCAGCCTACGTACCATGATGTCCGGCAGAATGTCCAGCGCCGCGGGCGGCAGGGAAGACTCGAGCGAAGCGGGGGAGGACATTACTGATGCTGTTGGTGACGTACGGGAAGTTAGTCTAACGTTCTCCCAGCCAATGTAGCCAATTGCAATTGACTGATCCCGTCATCAGACCCACCAATCAACGCCCAAAACCGACAGCGAATCAGATCCGGTGGCAGTAGTGTGATCAGAACTTTTTATTCGAGTTTTCAGAGCATCACTCACTACCGGTGGGTGAACTTTATCAAAACCTAGAGTGTTTTATGAAATCAAACATATTCACTTCCAAATAGATTATCCCCAAATATAAGTTTACACTGGTGCCGAAAACGAGGTACGTGAGCACTGAAGGTAAAGTTAAAAGTAAATCCTCTCCGAACCAAAAATAAAAAACCGTGCAGAAGAGCTTATACTCAACTCTGAACTTTGGAGTCCGAAGTAGACGTCGCTGGGTATTTCAATCATTGAAATGCCCATTTATTGTCAGTAACTCTATTAACCTTCTGGGCTACGGTTGAGGTACACGTAGCATGTTGAGCTCAGCAGGAGGTCTTGTCATAGCGTGCAATACGCTCATCAGTGGACTCTAAATCGCCATCCTGTGGCTCTGGTCTCTGCAGCTCACGAATCTCGTCCCTCGTGATGGCCACGGCGTCGCTCCGAGTCACCTCGCACATGCACGTGGTGCAAAACGTGCGCTTCTTGTCTAATATAGTGCGACGATCAGGCGCTAAGACGCACACAAGCTTCTTGACGCTGCAGCCAGAGCAGACGCCACACTGACAGATCTTGCACGTCCGTCGCAGTGAGAAACCGTAGCTGCGCTTGCAGACACTACAGCCGCTGGCGTCGTTTTCTGTATTAACGCTCCGAGTCGTAATTTTGACTGGCTCAATGGCCATCGGCCCGTTGACCGGCAAGCCGGAGTTCTTGCGCAGACGCCACACGATCTTCTTGATCTCGGCGCATTCGACGTACTTAGATAAGCTCAACCAGTGTGTAGCCACCGCGTTCATGGACAGATTACTAAACAGCTCATTGCTATCGCTACGGAAGTCGAAGAAACCTCGTGCGTAGCACTCAACAATCTCCGGGGTCTTTTGAAGGAACAGATAACACACCGACATATTCGCCCGCTCGACTCCGAACTTGCCCAAGCTCGGGATCTTTGCGAACGCGACGGAGTGTGAGATGCTGAAGCCAAGCTGCTCTCCGTTGCAGCTGGTGGTGATACCCGTTGCGTCTAAACAGACGTAGTCCCGTGTATCGCGGAGTCTCCACTTCACGCCGACGTGACGGAACGGGTGGTCGTCTGTCGGCTGCACGATTGACTTCACTACTTTGCTGTCTACCACACCGTCTTGTATACACCTAGACGTGAGCTTCATCTGCTCGTCTGTAGATGCTGCAGCTACGAACATGACGTCCTCGAGCTTACCGATCACTTTACCCAAAAGAAGCAGTGACGGGAGGCACGGCAGCGTCGACCAGGACGCAGCGCTCCGCTCCTTGTACACTCTGATGTCGTCTTTGCGACGCAACTCTTTCCATCGTCTGGCGTCCGCGTGGCCATCCGAAGACACTTGCAGCGATCTGTAGCTTTGGAGGTTGTGTGTCACCAATGTATCGGCCAGTTCTCGCAGCGACACCACGTCCGACTCGCTCAGTTCGAGCATTGGTGGTATACAGTGCGCCAAGTCCTGCGGCTTCATTGTGGTTGAATTTGCACCAGGGACGCAGAGATGTCTTCCAGAGAGTAGCGTTCTAATTGCAAAATGGCAGCACTCTGCTCTGTGGAGACCTTCGATGCCAAACAGCATCCAAAAGGTAAGGAACAAAAGTACATGTAATATTCGAAAAAGTTATTTTTCCACTTGTTGGAAAGCACTTTCTTCAATCTAGACCGCGGAGAAAGCACTATCCTCAATCTAAATTGCAGAAAAGAAACTTTCTTCGATCTAGATGAGCACAAAAAGTACGATATTGATCTAGGTAGCATAAAAGTGCTACTGAGCATGTATCTCCGATTTGGGTGCAATCCCAGTACGGTATAATAATAACCGTCGGCAAGATCGATTCCGTTGCCTGTATTCTTTAAACGAACACGATACCTAGCGAGAGAAACAGAAAGACTCTACTCAAAGCAGTGCGATGCTCCCATTTTTCCAACTTTAACAGCGATATCGCTGACCGTGTTCTCGATGTGAAGGCTTTCACGCCAAAAAAAACAATCTTCGCTATTTCGAGAGCGCAGCACGCATAACAATGCCATACATTTCTCGCCGACATTGTACCCTGACAGAATCGAGGCAATTTATCTTCAAGGTAGTTGACATCGACATCAGTCTTCTGTTGTTCTGGAGTGGGAACCACGTGCGAAGCCGCCATCCTTATTTTTCTGGCAAGCTGTGTGATTAGACTACTATTGCCAGAGAGCATTGTCTTGTTGGACAATCATCGCGCAAGTGATAATGTCCTTAGAGATTTTTGGTGAGAGAGGTATCTACAATTGTGCCAGCTAGTTTACAATCCTTATACACTACACATGTATTAGATTACAACGGTTAGATACGTCTACGTGAAAGGCGCTCCGGAATCGGGATACTTTTGGTAATTCGCCGGCATTCAAAGTTTTTAAACACTTCAGAAATGCATCCGATATCGTCCAGGAAACCTTCACCTTGATCGAAAGCCAGCTCCTCCCTAGCGATAGCTAGTGTGTCACTCATCGCAACATCCTCAATGCATTCTCGACAGAATCGACGCTTCTTCTCCAGTACGGTGCGACCATCGGGGGTCATCGTACATACGACTTTCTTTACTGAGCATCGGTTGCAGAAAGATTGCATGCAGCTTCTACAAATCTCGCGACTGGTACCAAGAAATCCGAAAGTGTGAGAGCATCGGGCACACGCTCCAGGTCGAGCAGATGGCGGGGAGAGCCTGCCGCTCTGTGACGAAGCATTGCTTGAGCAATTGCTGGCATTACTACCGTCTGGGCTACGAGCATCGAGACTATTCCTACGTAGTCTCCAGGCGAGTTTCTTCATGCGCCCACACTCGACTTTGCGCCCAAATGACAGCCACTGCGACGCCACCGCTTGCAGTACAACATTGTTGAGCATTTCGTTCTTAGTAGGGAAGTCGAAAAACCCTCGTACGTAGCATTCGACCGTGGCAAGTGTCTTTTGTCGGTATAGTGAACACACCGACACATTTCCACGCAAGACGCCGTGCTTTTGGAATTCCGGGAGATCGGGGAACGCAACAGAATGAGATAAGTTATAGCCAACCCGTTCACCGTTGGTCAAGCGCAGGATGCCGGTCGTGTCCAATGAAACGTAGTCTCGTTCACTAAATAGTTTCCATTTTATACCAACGTGGTAGAAAGGGTTTTCTTTCGACGGTTCTACCAGCTCACACAGCATCTTTGTATCCAGCATACCGTCGTTCACGTACGTAGAGTTGATCTTCATAGCTGCATCCGTAGTCGCCACTACCCCATACATAACGTCCTCGACTGTTCCATCTACCGTACCCAATAGCAGCAACGACGGTGTGAACGGTGCATTGCCTCGAGTGGGCCCCGGACGTTCGCGATAGATTCGGAGTCCACCTTTGCGCCGCATCTCCTTCCATTGACCCCTGTTCGATTCTGGGAATCCCTTTTTAGTGACCGCCAGCATTTGGCTTTGTTCCAAATTGTGCATGACCAAATTGCTGGCCAAGTTGCGAAGCATCTCTTGGTCCTCGTCGGATACCGAGAGCTCGGGCAGTAGATCCGATAACTTCAACAACGATGGAGAACGCTTCATCTTTGGGACTTTCACGTCACGTGGCCAAAGTCAAAGTGCCACTTCATCGAAACGAGCTGAGAGGAGACCAGCTGAACCGTTGACGGATTTCGAGGCGGAGAGAGCTAGCTACATGGAGCTCTACCAAACGTGCGTGAAGGAGCTCACCGACGTCAGTGAAAGACGCCATCGCCTGTCCCGATTTCAAGGTGTACGAGGCATTTGATTGGATTTTCTTTCGATAAAAAGATCTGATTGGAAGAAATCCACTTGAAAAAAGAAAAAAAACTAGAAAAATGGCGCAAAATACTTTTTATTGTTTTTTTTAGTTAATCATAGGGCGTATTCTTTTCCGTCGGTATCATGGCGCATTGTCACCAGTTCATCCCTGGCAATTGCTACAGCGTCGCTGTGTACGACCTCGTGGATGCAGAGAGAGCAGAACGAGCGCTTCTTTTCAAGGATCGAGCACTGGTCCGGTGCCATGGCGCACACGAGCTTCTTGACGCAACAGCGCGAGCATACGGCGTGGTAGCAGCTCTTGCACGTCTTTTTCCTTCCCGGTAGGAAGCTGAAGTTCTTACTGCACACTCGGCACGTCGAGTCGGCAGGTTTCTGCTTAGGTTGCAGCAATGCAAGCTGCGGTAGGTCCGATTCATCACTGTTTTTGCGTAGTCTCCACGCGAGCTTCTTCATGTGTGCACACTCCATGTTACGAGACAACGAAAGCCACTGAGTGGCAATAGCTTGCAGTGTCAGGATAGTGTGGATATGCCTTTCTGTCGGCAATTCAAAGAACCCACGTGTGTAGCACTCGACTCTGTTGTTGCCTTTCTGGCTGTAGATTGAGCATACCGACATGTTTCCTCGTTCAATGCCGAGATTCGTGAACGCCGGTAATTGGGGAAAGCCCACCGAGTGCGATACGTTGTAGCCGACACGTTCACCCCACGGGGTCTGCATGATACCGGTCGTGTCGAGCGTCACGTAGTCTCGATCGTCATACAGACGCCACTTTAGACTCACGTGGTGGAACGGGTCGTCGACGGTGGGGCTTACAAGCTCCTCGAGCACTTTACTGTCCACAACGCCGTCACGAATACAGGAAGACTTGATCTTTAGCGACTCGTCTGTAGGAGCTACGACGCCATACATGATGTCCTCCAGGCTACCGACCACCGAACCCAGCAATAATAACGATGGGATAGTTGGCGGGGACTCTGTAGGTTGAGGTCGCTCTCGGTAGATGCGAATCTTCTCGACCTTGCGGGTGGGGACCCACAGTCGACTGTCTGGGCGGCCGTCCTTGGTGACGCACAGATTGTTGTACTGCTCGAGGTTGTGCGTGACCAGTGTCGTCGCTAGCTCTTGAAGCAGCGTCCGGTCCGATTCTGGGATCAGCAATGCTGGTAGGAATTTCGAAATGGCCACGGGCTTTGGCATCGTCTCGACGGGTAGAAGGCAAGTTTCGTAATAACGCTCCTCACTCCATGGCACCGATTGGAGAGAAGGAGCTCCGCCGGAGCCGCCATGCCTAAGCAGACTTTCTAGCGGGAGATCTGGACACCCACCTGCTACGGCACGTCAACTGAATTCAGATGACGAACTATAAGTAGTGAAAATAATGTTTCTCGTTGAAAATGTCACAGACAAACGAAAATATCTCGTTGTTCTACGACCACCTTCGTCACGTTCACCAGACAGCAATTTGGGGGAAATGTTTTGTTAGTTTTCAGTGTTTACCCTTGCGTGCTGCAGCCTTTCTAAACAGTTCAGTCCAGCATTCGAGGAACCTCTGCCCAGCGCTGGATTTCATTGGCGAGTGTGCTGTACCCTCCATTTTCGACCACCACATACTTTGGCAAACGTACTGGAAAGATCAATTACTTTTAGGCACGTAGGTACTAGCTTAAAGTGCAAGTGCCTTCACTTCAGTTACAGCTCTCGTAACGCCACAAGTCTTGCATGAAACAAAACAGAATTTATCTTGGGTTAACGGGCATTCATATTGAAATGCTAAACGCACGGGCGTTCAATTCATAAGATGCTACGAAAGATGCAAACGAGAACCGAGTTACTCCGCCACTAGGACGACAGCAACAGAAGTTTCTCGCAAAAATGAAAAAAAAAAAAGAAACAGAAACCAGCAGCACGACTGCTGTTCGCTTAGCTTGTGCGCACACGCGCGTCGTCGGCCATGCCTTTCCAGTCCGTCTCGCAGATTTTGACAAACGATACAACACAGCCGAAAAAGATGCCGACAGTGAGACCGAGCCACATTCCCTCGACGCCCATTTCCATCCCGAAGGCAAGATACGCGCCAATAGGCAAACCAAGCACGAAATACGCGACCAGATTGATGTACGCGCCCAGCGACAGCCGTCCCGTGCCGCGAAGCACGCCTTGCATTACAGCATTGACAGCATCGCACATCTGATACGGCATCAGGAACAGCATAGCGTGGCCAGCTAACTCGATGGATACGGTATCATTGATGAAGATCTCCGGGATATAATACCGCGTGGCGATGATAATGACGGCAAGAAGTGCTGACAATGATACAGACAGGATCATACCGAGCGTCGAGGCCATTCTGGCGTGTTGAGGCTTGTTGCTGCCTGAGTAGGTGCCTACAAGCACATTTGCAGCCACCGAAATACCCAGGAAAAAGTTGTACGCAAAGGTGGACACATTCACCAGTACGGAATGCACACTGATAGCCACAACGCTGCCCGGTAACCAGCCGATGATCGCCGCCATAATCTCGAACGAAACCCACTCGAACAACAACATGACGGCACCGGGTACCCCCAGTTTCAAGAAGATACCCAAGTGGTTAACCGCTTCCTTTGTACGCCAACCAGGCCACCACTCGGCCGGGATATGAGGATTACGCATGAAGTACGGGATCAGACACAACGGCAGCGCCATCTCGGACAATAAACGTGCAATGGCTGTACCATCGAAGCCCATCGACGTGTAGAACGTCAGGTAAACGCCCAGAAAGAGGTTAACCAGGTTACTGAGCACGGCAATATACACCATCGGCAGCACGACATTCTGGGCTTGCATCACCTTCTTCAACATTTCGTACACATACATGGCCGGGATTCCAGGCAAAAGAATCCGGCTGAAGCGTCCAGCGAACGCTGCGACTTGTGCAGGTTGGCCAATCATCAGTAGTAGAGCTTCGGTATACCAGTTGATGAAAAACACGGGGATCATCGTGACGCCCAATACAATCAGACCACTTTGCAGGTAGATACCCAGCTTCTTTGGTTTCCCGGCGCCATACGCTTGAGAGCACAGTGTATCCATTGCAGTGGCCAATCCGAAGCCAACGCCAATAGCTGTCAGGTTTAATACCATCGTCGATAAAGCCACACCATCCAGATATTGCTTGGTTAAAGGTGAATCCAAATGACCCACTAAAGTCATACTCACCAGTGCAGGGAAAAACTCCAGCACATACGTAAAAATGACCGGGTTGGCCAATGTGATCAGCTTTAACACTTCTGTCTTGACCTCCGGATGTGTATCATTCTCCACTTCTTCCAGAAGAATACCCGACTCAATATCAGTCTCCGAGTCTCTGTACGACTGAAGTAGTGGCAATTCTTCAGTAACTTTGCGAGCTTTTGATGACTTGGACAGTAGCACTTGCTCTTCCCATCGATCAGCAGCGGAAAATGACGACGATCGAATGGGGATTGCCACTGAATTTGTGGGGCTATCGGAGCCGGACGACGAGCTGTACGAACTGTTGGACGTCTCCGAGTCATCTCCAGACTCTTCCGATCCAAACCGCAAGTTCGCTTTCGAACGTACATGGCGATTTGGTCCATTGAACTGCTTTTTGATCCTCGATCCAGCTCGAGGACTCAGCAACTGGTGTGTTTCTAAGTTCCACTTTTCCACATTCGATTTCCACGAAGTTGCACTCAAGTCATCACTGGGAGGCTCCGCTTTGACGGTACCGTAGCCAAAGTGCCGTGGCATGGCCGTCTTTTTCTTGTCTATCGGTTGGAGCTTGACTTTTCTGGCAGTTTTGGCTTCGCTTCGAGGCTTGGGCTTAGTCTTAGTGGCAACAGCACGCTTAACTTGGTCTTTGGTTCGGGCAGCAGCGGCCGGAGTGGCCGTCTTGCGCCCATGGTTTCGTATTAAGCCGCTATTGCCACTACTACTGCCACTGGAACTGTCGCCGCCACTCTCCCCTGCGCCAGATCCGTCGTCCTCGCCGACATTGGCCATAATCATCCCCATCGTCCTCGTCTCTGCTTGGCTAGTCGACAGTTGGGGAATTCTTGGAGCTCTGAGCGGTTAAAAAGTTATAAGACGCTTCGCAGTCTGATGAGATGAGCTCGAAACGCCTTGTATGTGAGGTATGGATAAATTCTTGGATAAGCTGAGGCAAGTGACATACAAGCGAAAAGATAAGGTAAGTGTCAAGTGTAACACTAACGAGACTGTGGCACAACCCGAAGAGTCGCTATCTTAAAAAAAAATACCAACGGTCTCCGTTTACGAAAACCAAGAATAAACTTGGTTTGAGTGTGCAAATGTGCAGAAATTTTACGTACACGACGTCGAGGGTGGTCCAGGTGATGCAGTCGGCAAATTTCGCCATGCAGCGGGGGTGGCAAAACTCCCTCTTTTCTAGTTTTGAGCTCGCGTTGAGTAAAGACTCAAGCAAGCGAGGCGTGTGATGTAGTGGTTGCAACTAGTCCTGCAACGGGGGAGTCACTCCAAGGCGTTGGGTGGGTAGCTGTAGCTTTAGTGTGCGCCGCTTGAGGGCTTGAAAAAGGAGCTTGGGTCTTCTTTTTTAGGACTTGCGTAGGAGCGCGACGTTTTGGAAATGGTGGACAAGTCGCGATTGGTCGGTAATAATTGCTGTGTTTCTAGAACCGATCGCAGCTGATACAACGGATTCGGCGGGGAATCAGACTACATGGACAATGCAAATTCGATTTGTTTGATTAAAAAGATGAGACCATCTTACTCTATGTTTGCAAACATCAAAACTATACAGCTTATTGTATCTGGAAGGTTTTAAGACTCTGCATTTCCGGCACGACGCGGCGACCTTCGATTATAGCAATACACAATGAAGCACCATGAAGGGTACTTCGCGGTCCTCGCGTGCGGTCTCGCTAGCGGAGTCGCTGCGTGATCTTTGCTTGACCAACGGATCTGGCAAATTGCCCGTATGCACTGATGCTTATGTTACGAATTCCCCACAACAGCATCGTCGCTGCACGCGCGTAGCGCAAGCACAATTCTTGCCAGCTGGTAAGGATTCAGCGACACGACCATGGCATCGCAGACTGCAATTTCAAGCCCGATGCAAGTCAAAATCTGCGGATGCCATCGACGTCTGCATAAAAGCAAGTTTAACATCGAAAACCAGTTGATCATGCAAGTTGCATTACACGTTTTCAATACAATTGAGATTTCGCAGTCTGCGATACGAGAAACTTCACTTGCAAGTGCACGCTCCTGATTCGCCGGGATGCTCGTTTGCCGTTTCAAGCGGCATTTGATTAAAAGTCAATTGCCGTGGGCATCGAGGGCGGACTACATGTAGAGTTTGCGCCTGAAATGGCACACTCGCCATCACCAAAAGGAATCTGAGGAACGATTGAAGAGACCAATATTTTGTGTGTTCCACATTAAATGTCGACCACCGAGAAAAACAAAACAAGTTGAAGTTATATATAAAATCCAGGGCTTCTCAATACATGGAGTTCTTCGGTGTCACGAGGTCTGATGCGAGCTTCGCAAGTGTCTCCATCGTGGCATAGTCCTTGGTCGAAATGTTGTTGTGTGGGACGGCATCGGCAGCACACAGAGATGCCACCACCTCACCATTCGGTCCGTGCACAGGGAAACCAGCGTAGAACTTGACACCAAGATCCTTGATACATGGCATCTGATTGAAGCGCATATCACGCATCGGATTCTTCAGGATCAAAGGCTTCTCGGCGTATACTGCGTGGATACACACATTGTTGGTCCGTGGCAGCGTGAATGCCTCCTGCGGTAGGTTATACGTGCCGATAGCATGAAAGCTCTCGTCGTCTACAACAGACACAAAGCCGATGGGACAGTTCAGACGCTTAGCAGCCACTTGAGCCACCAGGTCCAACGCGGCGTGGTCGTACTCGGGCTGGAGCACACCCATCTGCTCAATGGCCTTAAGTCGCCTCGCTTCCTTCTTCGGTGCAGGCATCGGAGGCATCGGGTGGTGCTCAGCCTGAGTCTGGTTAGCATCAAACTCGAAAATGTAGTCACGTTCTTCAAGATCGGCGACTGTGCACTGGTCCACGCTACTGTAGCGGTCCTTCATGACACGCAGACTTTGGCTCAGATAGTTTTCCACGTCCTGAGCTACTTGCTGCGTCTTTGTGTAGTTTCTGCGCTTGATCTTACTGTGGGACGCAACTGGGTTCACCAATTGACCGAGGAAATCAAGAGCGTGCGAGTGCTGGCTCGGATCGTCCGAGTACAGCTGCTCCGTGAGCTCCTCGACAGAACTCGAGTCCGACGTCATGGAAACGGTATCACCATCACCGTCCTCGTACCACGTCGCGTCATCCACCGCTATAACGGCAGGGCCTAGAGCTTCCACCAAGTCTTCATCGTCAAAGACGCACGAGTCGACACGATGTACGCACTGCAGACAGCAGCGATTGCGACGGATCTGTCCAATTTGAGCCTCGACTTCGTAAAGCTGTGAACACTCAGCACAGACCATGTGACCGCACAGGTGACAGAAGAAGTCGCGACGGAAGAAGTGGAAGCGTTTGGAGCAGATAGAACAGGCTTTTTCTAAAGACGGGTCGTCGTACCCAGTAGGAAAGTAGATGAACGTCTGGAAGCCAAAGCGGCGACGACGAACCACACGCTCGAACTGACGCAGTGACTTAGTCAAGACGTTCAGGACGTGCTTGGCTTCGGGATTCATGACGCTCTCACGACGTTGAACCAGCTCCGACGGGTTCGACGCCGTGGAGGGCGTGCTGAACTGCGTCGGGGGCGTCGGTGACGCGTACCCGTGCGCGAAGATACGAGTGACATGAGTGTTGCTGCCTGCAAAGGTTTGCTTGGTGCGGATGCTCTGGATATGGAACCCTACGCTAAGGTGGTCGAGTTCGTTACGCAGCGCAGTGCGATCCGATGTTGGGATGAGCTGGTCGTGTAACTCTTTTGGCAACGTTTTCATAACGTGGACGGCACGGTCTTCGCCCGGATACTGCTGCGTGAACGTGGAGAAGCAGAGCTTCTGCGTCTTCCGATTCCGGCCGACATCCACAGGCATCCGCGGACGCAGCGTCGCGACGTTCACTCCGATCAACGCTTGTTCAGGGGCTTTCTCCTTCTCCATTTCTAGACGTGACGCCACCATCGACTGACGTCTCAGATCCGGTGACAGCAGTCGACGCTGGCTGAAGAGCACGTCACCCTTCTTGAACTTCTTACCGGCCAGTGCCATCATCGTGGATTCGTACACATTGGACTCGTGTGTGATAAGCACATTCAGCACCTCGTTCAGATGACACCGAAGTTCCGCCTTGGCCACCACGGCGTACGCGATGTCCCGGTCTTCATTGACCGCATCAGAGGCCGTTGTAAGCTCGAACAGGTCAACACCTTGCCGACGGTGACCCTGTTTCCAGCGTCGGCCGTACGTGTCGCGCGCAACGGCCGTCTGGAGCTTAGGCACCGTCGCGACGATGTCGTCGCAGATCTCCTGGTCCGACATGACGAGCTTCTCGAGACCATTAGGGGCCGTCACCACGAGTCCCGCAGGCGCCGAACCGTAGAATCCGGAGTCGGTATGGCGAGAACTCATGGTCGAAACGAAGACACCACGCCACAAGTTGCGAAATGAGCTCCAGCCACGGAGACGATAGGAATTGAGCCCGATGTAGGGTGGTGCGTGGGTGGCATCGACACGTCACATGTGGTGCACTTTGCATCTGGTCCCTCCAGTTATAGGCGTTCACTTTCGCAACGCCTACCTGTCCTCTTCATGGTGTCACTGGGTCATCACTAGTTCCCTGACCTTTTCGAAAGGGTCATTTGGTGCATGTCGAATATTGCAATATCTTAGACAATTTTTTCAATTTCTAATCAACGCAGAAAATAAATAATTGGTATCGGTGCTTCAATAAATTATTGACCAACTGGTGCATGTGTGAATCAAAACGCAGAGTAGAATATTGAAACAGAAATTATGAAATATTGAGAAATATCTTATCACCCAAAACATTCTAAATTCTATTCCCTCATACAATGTATAGATGTCATCTATACCTATTTGAATAAATTCCATTACTTTTACGCGTCGCTACCTCATAACTAAAGGCATTCCTCCTCAAGGTAAAGACAGGATTGCTGGGCTACCAGTGGACCACTGGTAGTGGTACTAAATACAATCGAGCCACGAGGCGACAGAATTTGTAGCACCGTTTCCACCTACGCCAGCCCCTCGCGAGTAGCGACCAAACGAGTCTCAATTGCCGAGACGAGCTGCGAGCAGTGATTCTTCTTTTAATGCCACTGTGATCAGAAAGAACGCGCGTGTTCGATTTTTCGAGTTCATTTACATGTATGGCACGAGGATTTCGCTTATCGACAAACACGGGAAATGCTACTCAGATTTGCGTTCGGTTGAATCCTTTTAAAAGGTTTGTCGAGACGGGGCCCTCCCACGCATCAGGAGGAGCTACAACAAGGATAGGGCCCAGAGCAGGCAGCAGGTCTTCGTCGTCGAACTTACAGACATCTACACGTACGGTACACAATACGCAACAACGGTTCTTGCGGATCTCTCCGATACGAACTCCCACCTCGTAGAAGTTGAGAGCAGTCTCTACAGACATGCGACCACAAAGCTGACAGTAAAAGTACAGGCAGCACAGACATCCACGACGAGGCTCTGCAGATTCCACCCGGGTCATTAAGTGTTACTGAAACTAGCCACGGAGAAGATATCCTCCTAGGATGCGTCGCCTAGGCTGGGACGACTGTGAAAATGACGTACTTCAAAGTAAAAGGAATTTATTTAATTGCCATACGTGCAATGGTGCTTCACGTACATTGTTCTGTACTCATTCTAGACCAAAACTACACAAACTGACTAACACAACTCTTGAACGCTCAACTAAGGCCCCATGAAAGGCATGCCCGTCGAAGAATAGCAGCCTTACACCGCACCGCTACTGGATTAGACAACGCGTTTACTCTCGTATGGTTTGTACAAGAAGAATCCTTGCTTTTGAAAAATGGCACTGCAGTAGCACCATAGGGTCTCATTTGTTTCTGCTAGTACTATTTGAATTGGCTTGCGCACTGAACCTTTCAAACGGCTCAAATTAAACGCTACATTCACGACAATAGTAATAGTCTTTGGGGTCAAAACGACTCGTGATTTCCCAGTCATTTTTAGACGCACGTGATGTTTGTTTTGTAGGAACGCTTTTGCAATTTTGGCCGGCTTAACGTGTCACCAGTTGTGTAAATGCTGTGTGTCGTGATTTGATCTGAAAGTTGCTTGTGCTACAAACAATCTTTTTGAAACGAATTAATCTGTGAGAGGCTGTTCATACAGCTCTTCTAGCTGTCCTTCCAGGATAAGAGATACACATGCATATAATTATGACGGCATACTTTCTATTCGTTAATTCGCGGTAATCCAGATGCTGAAAGCGAATCTACTACTACATAAGGAAGGAGCCACTACTAAAGTAGTACTTTAAAAGAAAATCAAGTGCTGTCAATCTCTGTTTGACACCGCCATCATTTCCCGCTTAGGTATGGATGCAAACTTCTCTCCATTTCTTCCACTTCAGAATCCGCCAGCTCGAGGAAAAATGGTCAAGCTCTTCTGTGCGGTCGTTGGTGTGGCGGGAAGCGCGGTCCCCATCACCATTGATGAGAGTGAGACGGTGGATGACCTGAAGAAGGCGATCAAGGAGGAGAATAAGAATGAAATCCGGTGTGATGCCAAAGATCTGCGACTCTTCCTGACGAAGACGGACGACGGCGAGTGGCTGAAGTCGAAGAATCTGCTCCGAATGCGGAAAGGGGAGATCCCCAGTGAAGTTGAGAGCTACTACAAGAACGAGGAATTAGAAGATCCGACGGACAAGATCCGCTCAATTTTTCCCAGCACAATCCCCGACAGAACGATCCACGTGCTGGTGGTAACAAAGACGCATTTTTTGGGCAAACGCACTCGAGCTGACCAAAACAACCACTAGGTCGTTGGTGGAAGTTACAGAACGCTCTTTTATAGATACCAAGCTTACTAGGGTGTTAGGGGAAGTTGGATATTCTCCGTAGTATGTATACCTTTGGAGAAACGACTCAGTTAAAAGGAAAGGTCTTTCCTTTCTGGATAGCACTGATAGCTTTCAAATATTATTCCGTAAAGAATAAGAAATACACTATCTACTCTTTGTGCCAGGCAAAATTTCATTAGATATATTTTTTTACGAATGACTCCATTCGTATGTAGTATTTCTTTACCGTTATATCCACTTCACCCAACATCACCAACAACTTGCTACCCACCAACCAGATTCGAACGAAGAAAAGCAGAGTGAGCGTGGATGGTAACGAGACCGATCACATCACAAGGTATATCGAGATGGCTGGGTTTCCGCCGTTGGCGCATCCGAAAACGAACTACACAAAGATTGTAGAAAGGACGCGTATGTTGTGATTTTCACAGATTTAATGAAGAACGCCAAGTTGTTCTTAGATAAGGACAAGGGTGGAGATGGTAGCATGGTGGTAACGGGGAATCCAGGCATTTGAAAGAGTCGTTTCTACCTATACTGCATCTTTCAGCTTATTTTTCGCACAAAGGTGGAGGTTAAGGAGCTTCCTCCCTTCAATTTGGTGCTGAATTATGGCACGAATTATCACACGTTTGATGCTGAAAGCCAGGAGTTTATCAAGTTGAACGACAGTGATGTATCTTTGCTTCAGGGCCGGAACAATGTGATTCGACTCATCGAGGGGACTTCATCGGAGCTTGCGGGTTGGCATGGAATTTCGATTCTATTTGCGTCACCAGGATATAAAGGCATAAACGATTTGTCAAAAGTCGACACATTGAGGTATATCATGCCCGTATGGACCCTGGAAGAGTTTCGGAGTATAACTCGCTTCTCCAAGATGACTTGAAACTGAGTGACGATGTTTTGATTTCGAGATGCCTAAAGTTTGGTGAAGTTCCCAGGTTCGTCTTCATCAAGTCCGAGGAATTAAATACAGAAGATCTGGATCATGCCATTGCTTCACGCAATGCTCTGAAGGTTATCTCGTACGCCAAAAGCAAGTCAGCTGTGCGAGAAGATAACTATAGCCACCGCGTGCTTCAGATGGTACCTAGCAAAACCGATTTCCGAACAAAGTTCTACTTTGACTTTTTGTCTAACCATATAGCCGAGACGATCATTGACCAATTGGACCAAGAAATTCTCCAGAAAGTATCCGAATTCGCGGTTGCGCACGATGGTGATGACTCGGGAAGTACATCCGTGCTTCGGGGCAAGATTTATGCGTTGCTGTGTCATAAATGGTTTAGCCTGCCTAAGCAACACAACCTGGTGCTTTGTCCGTTGGGTGATGAACATGCCTCCGTTGACGTTGACGTTTCCATGCCTTGAGAACTGAAAACGGTACGCTTCTTCCGTTTGGCCGACATCAAAGCTGTTGAAAACGGGGTCTACTATCGGCCGAAATCAAAAACATTTGGTGCTCTGGATGCATTCGTCTTTGTTGATAACGCATGTTACGACTTGCAGATGACACGGAATCGGGATCATGGTGCACCATTGAATGCTTGTATAAAGTGGCTGGAGGGCGTGTGTATTGCGACAGATCGCCTGTATTTCTCGTTCGTGGTGCCAAACCACTTGGTACACGAATTTAAGAAGCAATCGATCGGAGCGAGTTCCAATTCCGAGTCTAAGCGGCCAGGACCGACTGCCAAGGTCAACCAGTTTATAACTACTTTGAACGCGATCGGTGAACGCGGCCAATACTGTAACAATCCTGGTTTGGAGGACCACGTATGCCGGTGGAGCAAGTGGTAGCGAAGCAAGATCCTACGTACTTTTGACATTATTGTATAACGGGCTAGCAGCGGAGCCCAAGATCCTAGCTAAGGGCTCAGAACACAACTTGAGGTTGGTAGGTGCTATGTGTACCGCAGAGCAAAAATTCAACACCATGAGCCGCTGAAATGTAGTTGAACTGAAAGAAAAAAGTGGAGCCATGCCATGTATGATCTTGCGGGTCTTGTTCATGAACGAACTTATATTCCACTGTTATTATGAACTGTCTAGGCGTTATAGCGACGTGATTGATGAGCATTTACACGTATGGAACGCGGCTTTCGCTTGGAATGATAACGACCACATCGTTGTTATCGACAAACACGGAAAGGCTACTCAGATTTGCGTTCGGTTGAATCCTTAAAAAAAATCGAATCTACGTGTACAAACAGATATCCTTGTACGTATATACACTTCGATTATTGAACTCTTCAATTTGCCATGAGCTGATGTTTGCTGCTCAGTGGGGGAGCCAGCAAATCGGAGGCGAGCTTGGCCAGCGTCTCCAGCGTCGCGTAGTCCTTGGTTGAGATGTTGTTGTGCGCGACTCCATCGGCTGCACACAGGGACCCCACCACTTCTCCATTCGGGGCTCGTAGTGGGAAACCAGCGTAGAATTTCACCCCCAAGTCTTCCACGCACGGCATCTGAGCAAAACGCATGTCACGTTGCGGGTTCTTAACCACGAACGGTTTCTCCGCATACACGGCATGCATGCACATGTTCTCGTTGCGAGGAAGGTGGTGCGCTTCTTCCGGGAGGTTGTAGTTGCCTATAGCATGGAACTGCTTGTCGTCCACCATGGAGACGAACCCGATCGGACAGGCGAGGCGTTCGGCCGCAACCTGGGCGATCATATTCAGCGCCGAGCGATCGTAGTCTAACCGCAACGCGCCAGATTTCTTGATAAAGTCCACACGTCGGGCGTCCTTCTGCATATCGGGCATTGGCGGCAACGGATGGTCTTCATTCGTGACCTTCGATTTGTCGAAGGCGTACTTGTAGTCTCTTGTACGGTCGTTGACATCGCAGGCATCAGCGGTGTATTTGAGCCGGGACCTGGCTAGCGCTTGAATCACGTGGTTCTCCACACGTTCCAGTACACGCTGCGACTGTGTCTTCTTGCTCTTCTTCTCGTGGTTTCGAGTATTGTCACTACTAGAAAGCTTCACAAGCTTACGGCTCGAACCCGAAGAAGAAGTGGAGCTAGCTGGGCTTCCCACAAGTCGACCGAGCATTTCCAGCGCCCGACTGCGTGTTTCCGGATCTTCGGAACAAAGCTGACCGGGTAGGTCGTCCATATCGGACTCGGAAGACGTATCTTCGATGTCGTTCGTGTTTGTCGAGACCGAGCTCTCCCATGCATCAGGAGGAGCTTCGACGAGGATAGGGCCTAGAGCAGGTACCAGGTCTTCATCGTCGAACTTACAGGCATCAACACGTACGACGCACAAGACGCAGCAGCGGTTCTTGCGGATTTCTCCGATACGAGCTTCCACCTCGTACAGCTGAGAGCAGTCTCCGCAAACCATGTGACCACAGAGCTGACAGTAGAAGTCGCGACGGAAGAAGTGGAAATTCTTACTGCAGATCGAGCAGCGCTTCTTGAGCAACGGGTCCGCGTACTCCTTGGGGAAGTAGATGAACGACTGAAAGCCGAACCGCCGGCGACGGATCACCCGTTCAAACTGTGCCACCGATTCGGTCAGCATTCGCATGACATGACGCGCCTCTGGGTTCATCAGTGCCGTGCGACGGCGACTCAAGTCTGATGCGTGGATCGTTGCAGCCGCCTCGCGCTTCTTGGCCACGGACGTAGCCCGGTTCTTGCCGGTTTCATCCCGGAAAGCTGAAGACGGTCGATCGGAGGCGTACGCGTGGGCAAAAATGCTCGTTGTCTGGCGGCTGCTGCCTCCAGGACGCGGCGTGAACTGTAGGTCGAAGCCGATAGCAATGTGGTCGATTTGACGGCGCAGCGAAGAGCGGTCTGCGCTAGGAAGAACCTGGTCGTGGACGGATTTGGGCACAGTCTTCATCACGTGCACGGCGCGGTTCTTGCCTGGATACTGATGCGTACAGGTCGAGAATAAAAGCTGTTGTGTGTGTTTATGACGAGACTGCAATGGTAGCTGCAAACTAGTAGTAGGACGCAGCGTCGCCGACGTGACAGTGATCACACCTTGTTGGGGGGTCTCGTCGTTTCCATTTTCCACCGGAGCCCGAACTTGTTCTTGCGAATCGGTATCGAACGCCACGCGTTGATGAAATAGCACTTCTCCCTTCTTGAACTTCTTGCCGCACAGAGCTTTCATCGTCGTGTCATAGGCGTCCGAGTCTTGATGCAGTAATACACTCAACGCCTCATTCAAGTGACACCGAAGTTCTGTTTTGGCTACCGTTTCATGTAGAATATCAAGATCATCGTCCAGATCCACTGGCGAGTAGGTTGGTTCCATTTCTGCGAGTTGCACGCCTCCTTTGACATTACGGCGCTTCCATCGACCCCCTTTGACACCATTGATCACGGCCGTGTGCAGCTTTGGGATCGTTGCCAAAATATCGTCGCAGATCTCCTGATCCGAGAACACCAACGTCTGTCGGAAATCTTCGGTGCTGCGAACAAGCAAACCGGTGGCATCGTCTCCGAACGCAACGGAACGGGTACCAGACGCGGTGATACTGGATTCAGCTTCGGATTCCGTGTATCGACTATCCGTTTGGTTATCGGGGGCACGGGGAACCCACGGGTCTTTCGAGCTCCAGTGATCATAGAGACTTCGACTGCTCATCGTTTTCCGCTGGGTTGTCGACTGCACTTGTCAGATTGCCAAGTGGTGGTCGTAGTGAGCCCGGTAAAGCGCGATCAAGTGGACGTAGTGCAATGCTCGACATGATGACAAAGAGAGGAGCCTAATTGATCCCTACGCAGTCGGATGTGGTCTAACGTGTTGATCTTTGACGGTGGCTGATGCTGGCGTGCGATGCAACTAGCTGACATCTTGACCTTGTCTCCAGCAGATGGCCGCTATTATAGATGACGCATGGTCTGCCCGAAACTCGCCTTGCATCCGCGTTTTCTGAGTTTTTGATACAGTTACTTGTGACCTGCGACAGCTAGTCGATTCCGATACCATCGGAGGTCACAGCAGGGATATTAGAGCGTGAATTCTCTGCTTTAGTTAAATCAGGGCGATAATCTCAAGTTGGTCTAGTTGCAGCGTACATGTAGGTCTCAGCGATGGTCAGTGAATGCAAGGTCTGCACGGTAGGTCCGAATCACGTCGAAATGATAACGCGATGGAATGGTATCCTTGCCATGTGCATGCAACCAACGAGTTGACGCACTTCGTCGAGTTTACTACTGCATAGTTTACCAGCCGGTGTTGTACCACAATACCACAACAGCCCTCCTAACTTTTCGGAGTGCGCGTTTTGGCGCTGTGGTGATACGACAAGATACCGCCATCAAGTGTACAGGTTAAAGATCTACGTATATACATGAAAATGAATATTGTGGTGCGATCAGTTGTCACAACATTTTTTTTAGTTGAGAATTTTAGGTTGTTGACACCATAAGCAGCTCATTTTTCTAGTCCTGGGTCGTGTTTTGCCAGCAAACTAAACAAACTGGCGCGGGATCTCCTTCTCCCACTTCTTTTCGAAGAAAACTTCGTCGTTGAGACGGACGATCATGTGGTCTTTGAGGAAGAACGTCGTAGCATTCGAAGCCATGGAGCTGTCCGTCTCGACCCGGACTTTCCACGGCAGTACCGGGTGTTCCGCATAGTCGACCCGCTCCACCTTCAGGTTGTCGACATGCGTAGCAGCAGTCACCTGGTCAGCAAACCTGACAAGCAGCTCACTGTGCTGACTTGAAGGCAGTTTCTCATACGTAAGAGTACGTTGAATACTGACTCGCGGGTGGAGACACTGAGGGTCGATCGTATACGTTTTGGTCGCTGTTTCCTCCATGACAATCCCTTCATCAACGAGCAGGTCTTTGCCTTGATCTTCTTGAACTACGAGGCGTTGAATGGGCTGCGACGAGTCTGTTTCGGACAGCAGCAATGTCAAATTGCGCTCCAGTGGTGGTGCTTCTCTCAGCGAGATAGTACGAGATGGAGTTCCAGCATCCAGAGGATAATCTTTCACAGGGCAGGTAGCAGCGTTATCAGTAGGAGCAGGACCTTCAGGCAACACAGGAAGCTTGAGCAGATTCGATTCTGCAAATGAGACTGTCAATTCCGCTGGTTCAGGCGACGGCCACACCATCGGCCAGTAATTGGGGGTGAGTGACAACACGAGAGTGTGGCCTGCACGCAGAGTGTATGCGCACGCATTGAGCTGCCAATTAACTCGAGTGCCCTCACCAATAGGCATGTAACTCAACTCTTCCAACTTGTGACCGTGACGGTGACTCAAGTTGAGCACCCCACGCGTGATCAACGTCGATTTCCCCGAGGGTGCAACGTCACTCAAACGCGCCATGATGAGGACCTGAGGCTTGTTCGACTTGACGAATAGACTTATTTGAGGACGTCCAACGATCTCAATGTCCTCATTTAGTAGACCGGTAGACCAAGTGGTAGCAAGTGCATCCTCATTCACCTGGTTACCAGGCATGTCCTCGCCGCCAAACGACAGCCACTCACCACTCCACGCACCTTGCAAACTATTCAACCCGATCACACGTTCACGTGCACTAGGCGGTTCAGTCGTAGTCTGCAGCTTGTAGCCATCATCACTAGAGCAGTAGAACGTCACAAATTTCTGCTCTAACTTCTCAACATCACCCACTCCACACCACTTGCCCGGATACTCCAGAATCCTCGCCGTCGTGTTTTCGATCTCGTCTTTGACAAACAACTGCAGATCCGGAAACCTCGTGGCTGGTTCGTCCGTTCTACCATTCAACGAGTAGTCCCACCACTGTCGACACATTTCTAGAAATCCAACCTGCGGTCCGGGTGTGGCGTGATTCGGCCAGTTGTGACTCCACGGTCCAACCACGCCTTTACTCGGCGAACTCTTCATCCCTTTGATCATCCGCGCCACACCGTTGAAATAACCATCATTCCAGCCTCCGATCTCCAATACCGGACACTTCACCTTGTCGTAGGCTTCACAAATGGAGCCGTGTTCCCAGAAGTCGTCTCGAGTCTGGTGCGCCAGCCACTCGTGTAGCCACGGGAACTGCCTCTCCAGTCTCTCTTTGTAGCGTCGTTTCCATTCTACCTCTGACCCTACCGTTTCCGGGGCCATCGGTAGTGCGTTTAAGCTGAACATAACTGTGGCCCAACTCAAGGCTTCAGATCCCAAAACTGCACCGCCCATGTAGTGCACGTCGTCCGCATAGCGGTCGTCAATGGAGTAGAGTGAAACTACCCCACGTAGAGCAGGTGGGGCCATAGCCGCCAATTGCAACCCATTGAAACCTCCCCAGCTCTTACCAAAGACACCCACACTACCAGAACACCAACTCTGACTGGCAAGCCACTCGATGACCATCACTCCATCTTGAAGTTCTTGAGGAGTGTATTCACCGTAATAGTGGCCTTCACTATTGCCAGAACCTCGGATATCCACTCGAGCGACAGCAAAACCCCGTTGCGCCAGCCACACGTGGTTGCTCGCGTCTCGCGTGGACGTCCAGTCTGATTTCCGGTACGGAATGTACTCGAGAACAACAGAAAACTTTGTAGTAGACGATTTAGGCAGCCAGATCCGCGCCGACAAGCGCGTTTCAGCGTCCACGGGGATCCACACGTTCTCCAGCACGTGCACTTCCTTCACAGGCGACGACATGATTCACAGAAGGGAGGGATCGACAAGTGATCGTGTAGACGAAGATCCTCCATGATGTGTGTACAATTGTACCCATCAGTGCAAATTTTTGTTGGACTATATTTTGAATCTTATTTGTGCACTTTTGCACACGTCAGTACACAATTGATCATGTCGGAGGCGGCGCAGCTCGACGCCTTCTTGGCGGCCATGACGCAGTACTCGCCCACGATACCGGGCGAGCTGGTAGAGTTTTATCTGCAGCAAGCGGGGTTTGCCACCAACGACGTGCGAGTGTACGTATTCTCCGCTAAATCACTGCAGAAACTCCTAATTAAAATTGGCCTAATTGTACAGCACGCGGATGATCTCGCTGGCGGCGCACAAGCTTCTGCTGGACGTGACGCACGACGCAATGCAGTATCAGCGTATTCGCTCACAGGCGACGTCGTCCACGACCACCGGCGCTGCATCGGCAGCGCTAACGGCCGTACAGACGCCTGACGGAGCCTCCCCCACTGGCAGTCGCTCCGTGCTGACGATGGAGGACCTGGCGGCCAGTCTCAAGGAGTACGGCGTTAATATCTGCAGACCTGAGTACGTGAGCGACGTGGTGGAAGACCCCACAGCCTAAAATGTAAGCGAAAGACTATTTTTTGCTCTAAAAATTGGTGTAGATTGAGCTCTTGTTGTCTACAGCTCTTCGTGCTCGTCCACAGGCATCTCCTTCTCAACGACTTTTCGTTTCTTCTTCTTCTTGAGATCCTTGTCGGCACTTTTGACGATATCGTCCATGAAGTTGGTCTTACTGAGGTCCGTCTTGAGCGCCTTGGGGTATTTCTTGAGTACTCTCAGGAACATGGTGGGTTCCTGGCCCTTGTACTTCTTCAACAGTGTGTCGATGGCCTCGTCCTCCAGTTCTTCTTCCGGAGCGCCATTCTGCTCGAGGAAATACTCCAGACGCTCACGAGTGGCGGCAGCAGCATTCTCAGTCGGCACACATTCACACGCCTCCTTCTGCGCGTCCTGGTACGCTGGACACGCGATCATCTAGCAGGTTTAGATCATATAAAACAATGTCAGTAATCTGAGGAGACAATGGCGGACTATCGAGACAATTGACGCACATTGGCGCCGATGTAGAAGATCTTGGCGGTCGAAAAGCATTCGTCGCGCCTGGTGGGGTCCCTGATGGCCTTGCACTTGGCTTTCATGCACTTTTGAAGGCGTTTCTCGCAGTTGGCCTTGGGCATACCGCACACGCTGTAGCACTGTATTAATAAGGACAACAAATAGCGGTGTGTCAACCAAGAACTTAAGGGCAGCATTGTATAAAATGCTCGTACCGCGTCGTGCCAGTCGCAGCACTCCTGAAAGTCCGTGGAGGTGGAAATGGGCATGCCGGACGTGCCGCATCCATTGGCGGTAAATTCGAGGTCCCTGCAATTGATGAAGAGCGAGATTAAAGACGATGTATCCATGTTTGTCTCGATTGTTTTTGCTAGATTGCTCACTTGACGGGGGCCGGTGCACGCTTGGGGCGGCACGTGAAGGGCTCGCACGGCTGGCTGTAGCTACTCAAGTCGGGGAAGTCGATGGATGCAGCCACACTGCCAGCAGACAGCGCACAGCAGAGCAGCACCAAGCGAGACAGCACCATGATCTTGGACGAGAATTATGCAAAATGCCACGTGGAGTTTGGATCAGGATTTGGATTGCGGTTCTATGCTAAATAATTATTTCTAAGGTTTGATAGATTTTATTGCCATCAGATGTCACATCGCTAGCATAACTACTTGATCTAAAATTACATAGCCTTAGGATAACAATTTTGGATACGACTAACAGTAAACTTAGTAAAGAATTCTAGAACGTCGACCATCGACCATCGACCACTTGGCATCCGGTTTTGATGTGTCGTAGGAGTGTTAGAAGAGTACTCAACGTGATTGTCAAAGTAGGAAATGTCCATGGGTGCTGCTCCGAGGTAATGAGAAGGGCCCAAATCTGACAACTATTCTTAATGAGGGCTGATTTTTCAACTTATTTTTGGGTGTTCACAAAAAGATCGGAACAAAGTACAGATCAAAAAGTGATCAACACACAAAATCCAGAAAACACACTCATTGGCCCCCTTCACATAAGGCTTGGAACCTCGAATCTGGAAAAAAAAATAGTGACATTTTCCAGGTTCGAGGGGAAATCGCCTTCACGTAAGCACTAATTCGCCCTGGAACCTCTAAAAAGAGGCAGAAAAAGTTCGCAAAAATCCTCGTTTCAGTGACATAGGTAGAGGGAGGGATTCTGGTCCCTCGAACTTGGAACTCTTCAGATCAAATACGTCGAGGGCTTCTCACACTCTTCGGTCCCCCCTTTCCGGTTGGCCCAGCATGACTAGCACTTGCGACTCTTAGCGAAACGATGATCAGCGTGAGGACAACGACAACGTTCAGCCTGCGTTTGTCGAAGACAGGAAGCGTAACTGGACCGACGAGACGACGCTCGCTCTAGTGCAAGCATGGCGCAACATTGCTAAGGAGGGGCGCCAGAAGGGCGAGAAGTCGTGTATGTACAACGAGCGCATCTACAACGCGTACAACGCGTACAAGACTGCTGTACCTACAACACAAAGATCGAAGAAAGCAATTGAGGACAAGCTGGCGAGTTTGCTTGAGATGTACCGCTTTAAAACCGACTTTAACGTCAATCGGATCCGTGGAAGCACCGGTAAACCCAATTGGTTCGAGCTTCCAAATAACAACTCAGGCACAGTGGTCAGCTCGTTCCAGTTGGAAAGTTGTCGCCTGCCTGCCCGGAATGAACAATGTTTGTACGAGTGGTGTATATATCTCCTGCACGGCGTTGGGCGAACAGTAAAGGCGAAGGGCATGTCCTGTCGGTTGAGTTCGTCGGTGATGACGGGGAACGCATTCACGCTTGCGCATTTAACGAAAATGCCGAGCACTTTGCTGCGGCGCTGTCGTTTAATGGCGTGTTCCGTGTGAGTCGTGCAAGCCTTCGCACCTCCAAACGTGAGTTCTCGGTTGTCCCACACAAGTTCGAGATCATTTTGACGGCACAGACCGAGATTACGCCTGCGGAAGGCGAAGGTGAAATTGAGGAACCCCCACTCGTTCTCACACAGATTCGTGATTTAGCCGCTGAGCATATTGGGGCCTTGGTCAATGTTTACGGAGTGCAGACAGAAGTCAGCGAGGTCCAGTACATTCAAAACCACAAGGGAATCGTTCAGCATAAGCGAGACGTAGTTTTGGCGGACCCATCCAATGCAAGTGTCCAGTTGAGCATTTGGGATGAGTTTGCGGGGGATCAGTTTGATCTCATATTATTTGAACCAGTCATTGCCTATCAGTGCCGGCTATCTAAATATCGTGGACGGACGCTTTCCACGGGACGCTCAAGTATGATTGCAATCGACCCACCCATTGCCCCAGCTGAAGAACTGCGTAGCTGGTTCTGCCAGACTCATGGAAACGCATGTGTGCCCCTACCGCTCATCGATTGCCACTTCACCCCACTCTCTCAAGTGCAACAGTTGCAGAATGGTGCGTCCATCGCGGTTGTAGGAGTGATTGTTCAGGGGGGTATCGAAGTTGGAGTATCCCGCGAAACCCAGACGCTGGTTAAGCGTGAAGTGACGCTCCAAGATGCCCATGGCCAAATAAAGTGTACACTGTGGCAAGAGAAAGCAAAGTCGATTGGGGAAAATGCGCTGCGTCATGAGCTCGCGATTAAACATGCCAAGGTCGTTACATACGATGGTACCAGTGTTGGTACTCGGATTGATTCATCAGTGGTTCTGGATCCCACTATTTCCGCCCGTTACGAGTTGCAAAACCTGCCTGCCTTACAGACCACTGATGCCGTCGAAGACGATGAGGTAGAAGCCAAGGATCTGGATATCTACGTGGCTGCCGGTTCCAAGCGAGCGATGGACACAGACATCGTTGGACTTGAAAAGAAGCGATCTCGTGCGGATTAAGCTGCCCACAGCCTCTAGTCTGTGGTTGTATGGCTAGTGAGCAAAACGATCTTTGAGCCAAGGCTGGTGATGTATTTAGGACACCTTACGCGAGGAAAACTGGCAAGTGGCGGCTTTTTAATCTAGTTGGAGCAGGAAAACCTATAAAGGTGCTTGATTTTCATGTGTAATTGCAGTACGAAAGAGGGTCGTAATCTAGCAGCGACGGGAAGACAGACGTAAAGAGGAATACAAACCCGACTTTTATTTTTATGTTGTCCTCCTGCAGGTGTAGTTGTATGAATGTTGTCTAGTAGTAGTAGTGTGTAGTTGTATGAATGTTGTCTTAATGGATTGTCGTTTGAATGTTTGTCGAATGTTACCTGTGTCTCAGGCGACATTTTGGGACGAATTAATGTCTGTGAGGCAGTCCATACAGCTATACAGCTGTCCTCCCAGGATAAAGGTAACAGCTACAACATTATATCTTGTTGAATCGCAAAGAACGAGCACCGGGTTTTAATCTCGCTCAGCATCATCCAATCCCTGTACAAACCTAGCATATCCCTAGAATCACAGCCACTCCATCAATTTCCATGGTTTAGCATAATTATGTACTTTTCGAGCCCAATCACATGCTCTGATAGCTGTTGCTATCGGATTTGTCGGCATAGAAAGGAAGAGGCTAGACGTGTCATCATTGATGGTGTGTCAACCAGCATAGTGTCGATCAGTGGTCCGAAATAATAATTGCGATACAATAAATAATTGGGTTTTCAATAATAATTTTAATTATTGAAACTTACTTGTACCATCGCAATAAGTTATTGACCCAATTATTGTCAATAAATACACTCCAACATCGCTCTATTGTATCACAGCAAATCGATTGCAGGTGACATCACAATCCCGCCCCCGTGACGCAGACTAC